TTTTGGAAGTCCCCAAAGCTGAAATTAATGACCAGATGTTAGTGGAAGCTCAGCATCACCACCTCCACTTCACATACCCTATACCTTTTTGCTCCAGCTTCAGTTGCCTTTGGGTGCAAGGAGCATGGGAAAAAATGGCCTTAAATATGCTTTGAGCCCCATTTCAAGGCTTCTTAAAACAAGCTATTTAGCACAGTGGTAGGGAAGGAATGGAATGTGTCCATGAAACAATGCCTGTGACAGTAAATCCAACCTAAACCTCATAAATACACTCGCTACTTTGAGAGCTGCACAGATGATCAGAATTCAAATGCTGTATATTCTCAGCATCAAATGCTCTGTCTATACTAACTCTTTTTCTGTACAGTATCAGTTGCATCAGGAGTCTAGGCTCTTCTGTTTCTTCATACTTTTATGTCTGGCTTTTTCTTCTTTTTTTCTCTTGTTATCTGTAAACAGAACTAGGAAAATATAGAGCATTTCAGTGTATGCGGTTACGATATACTGGCTCAGTGACACAGATTCCTTCAAGAGACAATATTATCAAATACATTACAGCACTTTGCGAATGCACTTGGCATGCAGTACAAGCTCTTGAGAACTTAAAGTGGGGCTTTGATGTACCTGATGCTGGAGCCAAAAATCTTCTAATCTTTGGGAAACAGGATGGTAATTGGTGTTTGATCTATAAGAAAGTTGCAACTGCCACCTATACAATTATGGGGAATCATGGCATGGACAGAAATGGAAGCTGCATGGTATTGTTTCCCCCCCAAGTAATCCTCTTCTGCCACCTGACATCCAGGTAAAGGCTGAGGAAAACTACACTATTAATTTGTACTGCAGACATTAATAGGGAATACAGATTTATATTACAGATATTTCCCATAGTATTTTCTACAAACCATAGACTTCAAATATCCAGTAATTTTAATTCGGTCTCTTTGCAGATTTCCCCCCCCCTTATATCCTTGTTAGAATTAAGATAAAATACATCCACTTCTCTCCCCTACATGGAACCAGTTGTTTCATCCTAGTAGGTAGGCTACCAGACTTTTCAGGCAGTTTTCTCTTGTCAAATCTATTCTGGCTGTTCCAAGTCATTGTCTTCTCCTAGATGGAACTGAATATAGAAAATACAAAATGGTATACTGGTGACAGATTACAGCCCACACAGATTCCTGAGGAGTATACATAATTATTACAATGACAAGAGTAAAGACGACAAATACAAGCTATAAAATTACAAATATAGGACTCCTAGAGTCCATTACCTTCCCCCAGCACACTCAAATCCCAGGAAATTGTCAGTATGCATGCCTTTTTTGTACATGTAGAATAATACAGATCATATATTTCCTAGAGCAACCACTGTTAGTTAGGCTAATACATTCCCAATCTCAGAAATTCCATCCTAATACAAACCAGACTGTATCAGTAAATGCCAACAGAAACCCCACCTTCTCTCCATTTTGATTATTTCCAAATGTGAACAGTTTATCTGAAGGTACATGGGGCATCTCTGCATCTCCCCATTTGGTAGTGCTTATGCAAGAAAAGCACGAAAGGTTGACAGCTACATTATTTTAATAGGGAAAATGCATTTGTAACTCCAAAGCAGCTTGTCTGTGTTTAAGTCTTGACTTTACTCTTTTTCTCAATGCTTACAGCTTCCTTTGTTCAGGCATACTTCTTGTTCAATTAAGAGTGAGATATTTCAGAAGCTGGCAAGTAACTCAGCAAATTGGAAAGCATTCCATGTATCAAGTCATATTCCCCTTTTTTCTTCATAACTGACCTGGTACATTCTTAAAAATATTAAAGCTGGTGGTTGTGCTTACCTAAGGACTGACCTAAAGCTCTTTACTGTAAGGGGGAAGAATTCTATCAACAGGCATTGTACTAAGCCCCTTCTGCTGAAGTGGTGATTTCTGTTTGTCACAGGCTTTAAACATACTCTGTGTCTGTTAAAGTTACAGATCTTCTAACATAGGACTGTGTGCAAAACCTTAAGCTGCCTAAACCAGAGGTGCCATGTGGAAGGCAGGTCTATAACAGAACAGGTGAATGGCTTTTCCCTCATCTTCTGACACCCTACTCCAGAAGAAAAAAAAATGCTGTTCCCCATAAAGAGATATAAGGTTTTATTCTTTGCATGTTGAGTCTCTTAAAGGTATTTTCCTCTCTTACTGGTTTTATGTGTCCTGGAACTATTCCTCTCTATACTCAGTCAAAGGGGCTCTGTTCTAAAGAGAGTTCAGTTTTGGAAAAAAAATTACATGCTGAGCTGGAAAAGTGGAGGAGGACAGCAGGAAAAAAAATCATGGTTATAGTTATAAGGAGAACTAGTCAAAAAGTAGTTTCCAGTTCCCAGGAAATATGCCTGTTCTAGAGTGGTTTGGACAGATTTCGAGTTGACAGCAAGACATTCTCAAAAACAGTGTTTCCATAGAAAATAAGTTTTCAAGACCCTGCAGCTGCACTAACTGAGTCATTATCTCTAAGGTTTGCAATTCTCGAAACTGATGGATTCTAGATGGACCTGCTGGGATGTCAACCCTGCAGTCAGAGGTACTGTATAACTATTTCCATGTTTTCAAGTCTTCACACATGCTCTGAAGTGAGAAGCTGTACAGCGGTGGAGCCAGGGCTCTGAGTAGGTGTTCCAGCTGCTAGGTGCTGTGCCACAGTGCTGAGCCTGCTGGGGCTGCTTCCCGCTCAGGACAAAACTTGGAGTTCCTACCATGGCAACCTGACAGACAAACATTGCAGGCCTTCACCTGGCTTTGGAGCAATCTGCCCAGACCCCAAAAACTTAACTTTTGGGGCATTATCGTCACACAGCCAGTTTTCAAAAAAACTTTATTTCAAGACTGCTGGTTCTGGAGTAGCCTGGATGGAATGTCCCTGCCTTCTGTGGTCCTAGCTTCAACATATAAGAAAACTCTTTTTGCCTGAAATAGCTCTAGCTTTATTTCTTGCCTTCCTCCAGGAGCCAGGTATAAATAAGCTAAAGGTTTGCCCATCATTCCTGTCAGCTGATGGATCACAAACAAAACACACATGCATCTAACTTAAGATCTATTCCATCAGTTCTAGTACAATTGTTTTGCCTATTGTGTATGTATTGTACTGCATTTATATGTAATTTATTTCAGTTCATGGAATGAATTCATGAGACATATAGTGCTCCCAAGATTTAATTAAGACCCGATCAGATATCAGGTTGCACCTTCCACCAAAATATAACTACTGATCAGCAAACTAATTTATGAATATTAATGCCTCTTTCTACCAAAACGCATAAAAATCCTTCTTTCTAACAGGACTACTGAAACCCAATTAATAAATATGCCACTAGATCCTATCTCCACTTCACACATACAAGTATATGACAGTGCTCTTGTGTATTAGTAGTAAAGCCATTAAGGCAGGGCATAGGAAACTTTATACATGAATATATTGCTTTACCAGGAACAGATGAGAAAATGGAGTCAGAAGGAAAGTGTTTAGTAATAAGAAAATACTTAGAGGAAAAAGATTTCATGTGGAATGTTTAATTATTTCTTCTGAGAAAAGTTCTAGTCCTGTGCAAAACATGTGGTATGCATTGTAAATAACAATAAATTGTTAATTGTATTCAGAAGTGTAGAACATTTTTCAGTTTTTCAAAATTTAATCTCTGGTGCTTGTTCCTTATTTCCAGTTCACACCAAAAAATCATTATGAATTTTACAGTGGGTGAAACCCTAAGTTTTGTCTCATTATGATATTCCATTCCTAGAATAAATTCAAATATAAAATTTCTATAGGCTATAAAGGCTTTAATGAAGCTACTGTAGTGTTAGTATGTTTGTTTCACATACATGTACACTGAGATTATTCTCTAGAAAATACAGATGAAAAATACTGATAGATACTATGTGGCTACTAGCTCCATTTGTCACTCAAAAAGCCTGAGATTTTTCCCAAGATTCTTATTTTATTTTAAAAATAAATACTTTTATTCTTTTAAAAGTCAAAAGAAGACAGAAGTAAAATACACCTCACCTCCTCTTGATTCATTTTCAAATACCTTCTGTTCATTATTATTTCTTTTGTCAGAATTGCATAAAACAAAATCCATATTATTTACACAGATACTTCTCTTAGTCTCTGCAACTGAGAGGAAACCACAGAGAAGGTACGAGAAATACCCCATCACAGACTGCATTCCCCACCTATAAGCAGTTTACAAGCTGCTTTAACACCACTGATTGAAAGACTTCAAACTACTGCCTGCCTCCCAACAGTATACAGCTGAGGATTTGTTTATAGCAATGGATATCTCAGATAAAATTCAATTATTTTTTTTTTTAAGAGCACAAGAGACTCTGATCCACAGTCTTTGCAAAGATGAATTTAATTGGCAGCTATTCTGCCAAAGATAAGCACTCGTAGTTTTACACTTGAATTAATAATGTTGAATAGATACATTACTATTCCCTTGTTATCACTGATCTGAAACCTCTAGGAGGGATATAATAGTTCCTGCTCTGCCTTTCTATCAAACTAGCCAAACTGTCAACACCTGGTGCAAGTTAATGATCTGACAAAAATTTCCAGTGTAGACAGTTATCCACAGAAAAATGGATTAAAACTCAGCTTTGTCATAGAGACCATCATGCACTCCTCAGTTTCTATCTAATCTGAATATTAAAAGTTCTAATATGCTTCAATTTGAGGCTCACTGTAGACTTATATCCAATATACAACATTTGTCCTGGCACCTGAAAGCTTTGGCTCATTCTGATACGTGTACTATATTAGAAGATGGCCAGTCTGGACAACAAAGATCTGTTCATTTCTTTAAGTAAATAAATAGAAAATAGAAAAAATAGTAGGTTGACTTTGGAGCAATGGAGCCATGATATACTGTCTTCTACAGAACAGTAGTGAACCTGGTAAATGCTTGGTCACTAAGAGGATGGACATTAAAAATTGAACCAAAAGAGACAAAATGAAATAAAAAAAGCTTTTACTTTTAATGGAATACCCTTTTGCCAATTATATAACAAAGGTCAGCATGTAATGGGATAAAACCATAGATACATAGGAAAGAATAAAATTTTTACCACCAGAATAACAGTTACATACTTCAATTTAACAAAATTGAATGAATGCTTAGTCTAATTCTGACCTTCTTAGGGTGTTGCCACAATTGACTTCAACCCACAGCTTGTAAAACTTTTTTTGCCTTTATGCACACCTGGTTTTGCGCTGTGTGTATATACATAGCCAGAGTTTGCAGTGACATACTGCAGGTTCTGCTATAGTGTTAGGCATTGATTATGGAACTGCACTGGGATTCCCATTTTCTGTGCTGCAGGTTATTCAGAACAGATTTTTCTGTTGTGCATGCCAGGCATTTTCTTTTATTCCTGCAGTGATTGATATTCAACTCAGTTATCTGTTTTGATGGCAAAACCTGGGAAGTCTCTTTCCAAAAAGAGAAAAAAATCTGGATATCCTCCAGGAAATACATTATCCTCTTTGCTGTTCATCAGGATCTTATTTCTTACCAGCATTGTTACAAGACATTGCTGTATTGTTGCGTTTATCTGAAAGAAGTGTCTAAAACCTTTCTGTTTATATATCACAGGAAAGATCTGGTTGAGGTTTGGGGTTTTGGTGTTTTTTTTCTGTTTTTGAAGCGAGAATGAATTGGATTGAAGTTGCAATGTTTTCTATACATTGTCATTTACATTTTCTTGACCCTAAAAAAAAAAACCAACCCTGTGTTTCTAGTTTAGATCCCTTCAAAGAGTGAAAGAGGAACCCCATTAAGTTTACAAAGCTTAGCCTCCTTGCTTTAAAGAACTGTGGAATAGTTTCTTGGGATTTGTTACAAGTACCTTACAAAGATGCGTTAATTATCTGATCTCAGTTTACATTTGTTTTATCTTCATTTTGTGCAGACTGTAGCATATTCTTTTCCTGCTGCCTCCTTAGAAATGGTTATTAGAACAGCAATTGATGTTCAAACAAATTCAAGTCAACTTCATGCTGGACAAGTGCCTCAAGAGCATAGCACTGTCCAGTACACTCCATCCAAAGGAAAAACTAGCCCAGTGACAAAGAAGGAGAAAGAATATAACTCATCCAATGCTGGAGTTATTGCTAAGATATGTCTGCAATAATTGCCCAAGGAGAGAATTTTCTGCCGAGTACAAATCTTGTGGATTTTTGTTTTATGAGTTTGTTTAAAGGGGTACTGGGCTTAATGGAAATTTACAGAGATCGTACTTGTACTCCCAGTGTCCAGACATTACAGTACCACAGAAAGAAAGTGGCCATGTCAGCAGGTTTTCGGGTATTAAGCTACCTCTGAGAAAAATTATTGCATTGCAGGACACTAGAGACAGCTGTGAATGTTTTCCTTCATATGAGGTAAGGACAACTGAGGAAAACGGATGAGATTTTTCTTCATTTCTGTCAAAGTCCCTACACAAAGAAAACATTTCATTTTTGAACAGGGTATGAAGCAACCTGTCTAAAATAAACAAGGCTGGCTTAAAAAAATATCAGGTATGAGATAGCAAGGACTGATGCTAACATCTATAAGAAATGATTGCATAGAGAGGGGTAAGGAACATTTGAAATGACAGGACAAGATAAATATAGCTGTGTGTTACCAACTTCCACTGACTCACAGAATATCAAATCTAAATGTAATGTTTTTTTTTCTGCTGCAGTTGGTCTAAAACAAGCCCTTCTATGACCAAATATTTAGAGGAAAGGACTGGGAAAAGGCATAATTCTTCTCATGAATAACTTGCTTGTTTTTTAGTGTTGGTGATCTCAATTAGAATTCCAGCCTTATGAATGAGATAATTGTTTTAACTTTCATGACCAACAAACCCAGCCTCTGCCTAAAGATTCCGAAGGCAAGGAACCCTTATTTCAGGGTTAATGGAAAATACACACAGAAACAAGTTCCCCTCACACATGAGGAGGACAGCAGATTTACACGTGGGCCTTCTGGGGATACTTGGTGCAGTGCTGCATATATGCACCCTGCCATGAAACCAGTGCTTTTGTTATAGCTGGACTTCCCATTCTGACAAGGAAGTACATTTTCAGCAAGGTGCACATCCAAATGCTAACAGCTATGACCTGGGCTTTTGCAGCTCAAAAACAGCCCTCGGGCGCAAACCCTACTTTTGGGGTAGTGAATCACTTAACCTAAGAGCTCACCAGTAGTGCAGTGAAATGCATGTTCTATCTGTCTACACCACATCCACACGTAAAGAGCTTATGGAGAGAAGCAAGCTTTATCATTATCTATAGATGCTCTATTAATATTGTCTTGTAACAATTGTGTTGTGTATTTTATGGACCATACCAGAATCTCCATGAAGACGAACTAAAGCTTCAGCTCAAAATGAGCTTCTAGGTGGATGTTCCAAAATGCTTGAAATTCCAGGTTTAGGCATGGATATCAGAAAACTGATAAAGTGACTAAATTGAGGTTTGTAAGTACTCACACAGGTAAAAGGCTCTCTGATGCAACACACAAAAGCAGGATAAAATCCACTCCAAACTATCCCTGGGGCAGAGTCTCATTTGCGGTGAAATATTACACATTTCCTACAAAGGTGACAAAAATGAAGGTACTGAAAGAGGTGTAATGAGAAGACTCTTCTAACAAACACCACCAGCTGCAGACTAGCAACTCCTCAATGGAAAGGAATGCTACAATTTAAGGCTTTTTTTTCTAAATAGTAATTTAAGAAATAGCTAAATCCTAATTTATTCCAAACTTGAGGGTGACTGGCTTTGTACTAGAGTTGCTCTGGATCTGTGGAGCCTGTGAACAAGTGTTTTGAAACAGCACTATAATCAGGGGGGACATCTCACGTCTGCGGAAGAAGTGACAAGGAATCTGCAGAGAATAAGTTATTCCATGAGCACCAGAGCCAACTACATCTGGTTTCCTCTGGACTTATATCTTCTTGTTGGTTGACTTTTAACTGAATATGTGTGAGCTCATCCTAATTAAACATCCAGTAGGTATTAGAGAAAAATCTTCTATAGCTCCTTGTTTGAAAACAGATAATTCACATACAGAAAAAAAAAGAAGCCTTAGTGGAGGAGGAGACACTCCAATGATTGAAACAGCAAAAACTCCAAAAGAGGCTTCTTTTTTTTCTAAGCAGTTAGGTATTCACAAAGTGCTATGCCATGTAGATTTTTCACTTTAGTAACAATTTAAGTGATACTTATTTTTCCACTCCCTCCAGTGAAAATAGGGTATTTGCTTTCCAGGAGAGCTTTTTCATTACTTATTAAGAATTTAATATGATTAAGAACTTTATTCACAAACATGTCTGGCTCAAAAAGGAAAGACTGGTAAAGATACTTACATAAACCTCATTTCCTTAGGAAATCAGGATTCAAATAATTCAGATATGGAGAGAGATGAAATAACCTGAGGGAATGGCTACATTTGGAATTCACAGTGGTTTCCCTGTTGATTAGTGAATCTTATTTCAACATTCCTCACAGTGGAAGAGCCAGTGTCCTGGGAAAACCCAGATATTATTTCTGTGATTACCACACCACCATCTACTCCTTAAGGAGCCTGTAATCCCGGTGAACAATGGAAGGAGGAAATAAACCAGGCAATTCTGACAGTGTTGCAGTTATGATACAGATTTCTGTGCATGTTCAGGACATGTAGCTTAATCTCTGAGCTCAGATTTCCAGATCTCCATGCTAATGCTTTAAGCACAGAACTGCTTTTTTTTTTTTTTCCTCCTGGACACGCTCAGAGGTACGTGAACTCTTCCATGTGAGTAATCTCAGCAGGGAAAGGTGATACATCTGTGCTGTGGAACATGGTATCTGACAGACTGCCAGCAAACTCAGCACTGGGGATTCTGGATGTCATTTATAAAAAGGAATTTAAGCTGCTTGACAGAGTTCCAGATTTTTCTTACTGTGGACTGCAACAAGATAGAGACTAAGCAAAGACACTGCTATGTAGAAATCAGGAATGGCGGGTAAAAGATAAAAACAGAGTCACTCTTTGAATGCTCAAAACAGTGCACAGTCCACTACATTGATAATGACATTGAAAAAGCATTGGTAAGAAAATTTTTCTATATTCACTTTTTAATTTAAGGAACTATTAATAGAATAAATTTAAGGTTTTATTATGGGAATTTTCAGAAAGTATCAATGTGCTTTTTTTTTTGTTTGGTTGTTTTTTTGCATGACAACTCCTGAGATCTATTTTAGAGAATGACTCAACTTTGTGATCAAGTGATAGTGTGCTTTCTAAATGTTGCCATTCTCTTAAAGTAAAAGCTTTCTTGAGTATAGATTCCATGCCACTTAGCATTTCCACTAAACTTGGTTCTTTCTTTTTCCCTGGGTCACAAGTGGTTTTGTTTCTTTTAAAAAGAGTACAACTGATAAATCTACTATGAAACTATAAAGTCTACTAGAAAGTTTTCCATCGCTTTCAAAGAGATCCCTATCAGGCCCTGTTTGACTACAAGGCAAAATGTACTTTGCTATTTACACAAAAGAATATAAAGTTACTAACCAGCAGAAAAGAATGGAAAAAAATTTTCCTCTCCTGCCTTTTATACACTCAGAGATGCGTAAAAAGGAGAGGAATAAGGAAGGTGTTATTTCATTCTGAATGGAAAAAAGCAGAATTAACTCAGGGTGGCTTCACTAATTATCTGCTGCAAAAGGAGTGGAAATTATATAGCCCTAGGAGCTTTCCAAGGCACAAGGCCTAGAAGAAAAAAATTAGAGTTCATTAGCCAGCCCCGTAAGCTGGAACTAACAATCAGTTAGCTGGGACTCTAAATTTAATGCTAATTACTTATTTTGTTGCTTTTGTATTTTATCACTTAAATGGCATATGCTTAACCTGTTTTAAAGTAAACATCTCCTAAAAATTTTATCTTGTGGCTTAAATGGCTTCTAAATGATCTATCCCAGCACAGTACATCCCAAACCCATCAGGCAGCTGCAGGGGGAGTAAAATCCACCCTTCCAATCCTCGGCATCCTGATAGATACAAGGTATAAGGAAAAGAAAAAGGCAACTCAGTATCTCTGTTCAAAGCTTCCCCAGCAGTTTTAGAAATTACAAACAGTACCCGACATTAGCTTGGAACTGCTTGTTGGGTAATGGTGGGGAAACTTCCCAAGAATTACAACGCAATCCAAATGGCATGAAAACACCAGTGCAGTGCCCTCATCTTTACCCATGGTAGTATAACCTTCTTCCCAGGGTATCAAGCAAGTGCAAAAGCAGTCCTCTTTTCCAGTATTGCTGTTGTGATTACAAGCAAGAAAGTAAGTATTACAAAATAGTATCAATTAGATAGACCACATGCAGGAATTTAAAAATGATAGCTTTCATAGCATAAGGAGCAAGGAATATTCAAGGAAGTCACACTTCCTCCTAGCCCTGTTTCAGGGTACTTTCACTTCTTCTCCCATGAGAAATGGCTTCACTACTTACTATGGTTTTATGCAGAATGAGCCAAATGAAAATAAATAAATAAATATATATGAAGTATAATAGATATTCAAATGCTATCTTCTGGCCCTTAAATCTGTTACTTTGTAATGGGGAAGACTGAAATCAGACAGTTGGCCCTACTAGGACCACCAGTGGAGACTGCAGAGCAGAAATGAAGAAAGTCCTTTATCTGCTTTTTCCATTTCTGAAGCTGCATTGGCCATCTTCCATCACATTAGTAACAGGAAAAAGTGACGTCATGTTGCACTTCCTCCACCCTTCTATTCCCAGTCTTCAGGGAGGATGCTCTGCTACTGGGAATTCACAAATCAGTTTTAGAAACCTGCCATCCCAAAGAGCTAAACCCCACACTTTTCTATTTTCACCTCATTTGTGTCTGGAAAAGGAGGACGATTCAGATACCCTCTATATCTAGAGATGTCTTCCATGCAGTGTGTCAAAAATTCTCAAGGGTCCCAATCCTCCTTGACACAAATAACTTCCATAGGTACAGAAGGAAACTGATGCACATTTTCTGTCTGTTCTACACAATTCTTGCAACAGCTGCTGTTTTTCAGTGGAAACAAAAAGCTATTAGGTGTCTCTTAGTAAAATAGACAGGGAAATCCCAGAGACAATCTTTAACAAGATACATTAGACAGTTAATCACGCTCTCTGAAAGCTATATAAGTAAATATATGCAGAACAACAGGCTGAACATTTGATCCTCACTCTGTGCATCTGCTTTTACACATTTTAGGGAAAACTTTAGGAAAAAAAACCAACCAATAAACCCAACTATGTGAGTCAGTCTTGAATCCTTTCTACCTTCCTAGGGCAGTACCCTGATTTCGGATCTGTTTTTACTCAGCTTTTGAGGATCCTAAAGAAATTACAATATTATAGTGCCACTGCACAATATGGAGTCAACACTGTGGCACCTAGTCCAGCCATGAGCATAACTAGTGGCAAGTCATTTGTAAACTTGGTGAACTCAGTTAACTGCTCTGACACAAGCTCTTTCTTTGCAGTCACACTTAGGACATGTTATTTCTAGTAGTGATGTGTTCTGAGACAAAGTTTTACATGAAGACATAAGTTTTTTGGCCCCATCTGAAACAGCTGGATGCACTTGACAAATAAAGTCTTCCTACTCCTGATTCAGGACAAGTGCCACCTACTGACAACAAGAACTGGCTTTATTGGCTTTGCTTTGTCAAGAATTCTGACCGATGCTGCTGCTGTTTCAGGCAGCTTTGCTTCAAGTCCAGATGGTGGAAATAGACCTTAAAAAAAAGAAGCTGCACTTAAAAAAATCTGGAATGGTACATGCCAGATTTTCATTAAAACCCACCTGCCCATGGTGTTACTGAAGAATTCCCTAGCACCACCAATCAACAGTCACTTTCCCAACCTTTTCTGCAAAAAAAAAATAAGCAAATTAGACAAAAAACCTCACCCTTTATGAACAGTCAAGTATGAAATTCAAAAGGTGAATTAGAAACAAGAAATCAAACAAAAGAGACAAAAATCAGTGGAAATAAGTCTAAACCTGGACAAAGACAACAAACCTATATATATATATATATAGGAAACTGAGTATTGCAGGATGAATAAAGATACCACTGCAGTGTAAAAAGTCAGTTGCATGGCTTCATCAAAAAGTCTTCTGGAAAAGATTTACTATAAATTACACCTCTTCTCTATACACAGGCTTCAGAAATGAAGTACAGGATTTCAAGAGACATTTTCTCTTTTTTTTTTTTTTTTTTGTCAGGTCTAGAGTCATTAAACAGAGATTAGCTGGATAAATAGAGGAAGTGATTTTTAAACTGTTTGCAAACTTAATGTGAAGAGCCCATCCTTGCAAATTATCACGTCTAATCAGAGATGCACGCTTCACTGCTCCAGTAATTGTACTAGTATTAGTCAAATTCTTGTTGTCTCCTCATTAACCATGAAAAGGAGACTCAAGATGTACTTCATTAGAGTATCCTGAATATAAATTGTTAGTGTAAGGGGGAAGAGATGTGTTACGTACTGTATATAGAAAGGGAAATATTAAGAACATAAAACATATTGAATCATTCGGGTGGTACACTGAATATATGACTTTCACAACCAAACCTCTCTTCTCTCTTTTCATTTTTACTGTCTCCATTCCCTCTTTTATTTGCAGTGAGACTACAGTACTTGAAAACATACTTTATAACCAATGCCATTAAAAAACAAAGAAAGAAATGTGGTGTATTTTGCAGCCGTTCCTATTTCCGCAGCCAGAATGCTATGGCTTAATCAGGAGCTGCGTCTTTAGTAGAGACATTAGGTAAATCATTGCCTACTGGATAACAAGTAAAGGTGATCTAACTCACATTAAATGTTGATCAAATCAAAAGGTTTGTTCCTTTGATCATCAAAGGAATTAAATACACACTCCTGCCTTTCTTTATTCGACAATGCTCTTAAGTTCATGCCTCTAAATCAAGAGAATTTAAATACATGCCTAACATATGAAGCATGTGCTTAAGGGAATTGAGGTTTGAAAAAACCAGCTTGAATTGTATTTCCAAGTTCAACTGGGTCTATTACAAGGGTAGAAGTAAAAACATTTCCAAGAATTTCAATAGAAGCAGAGGCAAAGCAAATTTTCATATTTACTTTTTTTCATAACTTTTTTTTTTGTGTGAATCTGAGTCTGAAATATTTGTGTTACTCAACAACAGTTAAGGAAAGCTGCAAATGAACTAGGTAGGACACCAAAATGCTACCAAAGAATGCTGTCTGCTCTCTACTTTATCACAGAATAAAAAGAACCAAACAGGAAATACCATGCAAAACTGTGCCCTTTCATCCTTGAACTACAACACCAAATCATCATGAAATCAGATGTGTGAAAATGAAAACCTAAGCCAAGTCTGGTCTAGTACTCCTTTGTGTGGAAGTCTTGGCATAAAGGCAGTGAGAAACTCAATAGGGCAGTCAAGTCCATAATGTATTGTCCAGGAACTCTCTTTAAAGCAAGTAAATGAACTGTATTTCTAGGCCTGAGGTTTGCTCCCCATCCAGTTGCATCCTCTCAGAACACAGCAATATCCTCACTCAACTTCAGCTCTATACCTCAGTACAAGACTAGAATCTTCAGTTAATTATTATTTACTGCAATTTTACCAGTATGCAGGTGCTCGTCATGGAAAGGAACCCATTTTCTTGGTCAAGATATCCTGGCCAAAAAAATAATAATTCTGAAATGCTTCCTGGTGCCTCTTTGAACAATATTAAAACACTTCAGCAACCTTTCATACAGAATTAATTAACATGAAAACCAGCCTTCACAATGCAGCAGAGCCCTAAAGTGGTTTCTGGAATTTAATTAGTCTAACCTTCTTTTCTCTACATTGGTACCACTCTATGAGAAGTGCAGATCATTATTAATTCCTTTGGTGTTCACTATAATAACATTAATCATGATGAACTCTTTTGGTAGTAAAGTGTATGTAATATGTAATTCTGTAATAATTTAGCATTAACTTGAAATTAATTTATAAAATACACTATTTGTCACCACACACTGAACATTTATAATATTCCTCATCATCATTAGTATGAGGATAACTTGCATTAAAAAATACACTGGGTACAGATTTAGAGATATCATAAATACATTTGGGAAGTTGAGTGAGAGATGTTAGTGATTATTTATTTATCAACTTTTCCTTTAAAAACTATAGTAGGGTCATTTTAAGAAGTAATAAAAATTACCTGTTGTGAAAAACACCAGCATCCTTTGGTTCAGCACTCATTGAAAAACCTGATTATTTGAAGCAAGAAAACTGTTTCCCAATTTCTTTGGTTTCTCTGGAATTTAAAATAAATCCAGAACTTGTGTATTGCTTGTAAATAATGAACTGTGCACCAGAGAACTTCACCTGATTATCAAGTTTCTCTCCCTATCAGACTAGCCTAAAAGACATTAAATTTTATCCCATCTCCTTAGACAGGGATCTCTATGATTGCATGAAAAATGCTGCACAATCCAATAGATGAGCCCTAGAGCTTGCAAAAAGAAACAAAAAAAATAGAGAGGAAGATACAGAATTAAAGTGCTTGTCAAGTGACGTATCTTGCTGCTACAAATGGCAAAGTGATTAAGTTTAAGATGCTATCAGACACTCAATGTATACAAACATCCTCAGTGAGTGATACTAATGGAAAAACAGTTTTGTCCTTTCCACAAATGATTTGTTTTTATCACTGGACAATGCAAAATCTCTGTACTAAAATTTCACAAAGGATTCATTTGGATTCCTTTCTTATGTATTTCTAAGGTGCCAATCACTATATTATCTACACACATTAACAGAGTAGCTGGCTTTTGCTAAATATAGACTCCAAAAGAATTCAAGATCAAAACACTTTCTTACCCAGCCACAGAAAGCCCTTCTCAGGGCTGGGAAAGGCTTCTCATCACAGCTCTGAGGAGCATTCTGGGACAGAGTCTAGATGCAAGGGACACTTGCATTCCGTTTGCAGGGCCCAGAAGCTGACTGGAACACATTTACTCACACAACCTACAGCTATGTATACATTCTGATATTACTTACATTATAGTCTTTGGACTATGTTATAGCTGATATAAACTGTGTGTGCCAGTGAAGCAACAGAACATGCAAGCATATGCTGAGTGGGAATGAATTTAAGTGCGTGTTTATACACTTGGCTGAATCAGGCCCCTCATCACCTGGGCAGATCTTCAGTGTATTTTATATCAGAATTACCTCAGTAGAGTTGCCTCCCTTTTAAATTGGTTTGAGAAAAGAGCAAGAATTATGTCCCATAAATTTTAGGTGTATTGACATGTCTTTCCCACCATAAATGAAAAATACTGGGCATGTCTTTTTCTTTATGTAATTACTTTTCCATAATACTATATATTGGTTGTGAAAAATGGTTATTTAAACAATTTCTTCTAGCCTAATATTTAAAACTGTATTTTGCTCTTAAAAATTTATTAACTTCATTTACTCAAAAGGAGACTCCACTTTGGAAAAAGTCAAGGATCCTTTGTCTTATCTGTTTCCTGCAATGATTTAATGAGGGATAAAAATAGACAAGAATGATCAGATCTTCTCCTGGTATAAATTGTTAGCTGCAGACCTTGGATCATAAATATCTTCCTCTTTTATATTATTATTAATGATAATTACAAAGGACCCTCTAAGAAGTTACTTCTTAAAGAAGTATCAGCCATGATCTTGTGGTTCAGCCCGCACCAAGCTTTGTATTTAAAATGTACATGCAGCTATTTAGTTACATACAGTGAATTCAGTATATTTCTCCCCAAATCATAATATTATTTCTTGAATACAGATTTTTTAGTAGTGCATATTCATACCCAAAGGACTTACATTTAGGAAGTCTTCTCAGGCCTGCTGTTTCAAGTAGGAACGTGGCTGAATTCCATTTGTGTTCGGCGTCAGTTGTAATCCAGTGATAATTCACCATGTGCTGAAAACAAAGAAAAGACTTATAGCTTGGAAAAATGATATTCTTCTCCTTGTATATTTGATATTAAAATAAGTGTTTTCCTAGTTATACTGAAGAGCTCTTACTCAATCTGCATTTCTCTGTGTGTTTCCCCCATCAGTACTGGAACTTAACCATCAGAATTGGAGAGGGACAAATTTCAATTAGTCTGGCCCTTGTTATGAGAGCTATCAGGGATCTTTCCTGAACAGCCGCAGCTCAGCACTGGCCTAATTCCAGCACTGCTTCTTATGCTTTTTCTTTTGCTTGGTCTGCTCTTTTCCTTAATCTCATTCCCCATTTTTCCATGCTCTTTTTTTTATCATTTTCCCCCTCACGATTTGCATCACTTTATATCCTCTCTTTCTCCTTCTCTTTCCTCCTGGATCCAGTATCAAGCCTTCAAACCTCAGCTTTATTTTTTTTTGCCTTTTTTTTTTTTTTTTTACCTCTTCCCTTCTATTTTTCTTTTCTCTTCAAGTTTTCCCCTTTGATGAAGGCCCCTCTAGCTCTATCAATCAGCATTTAAAAAGGAAACTCCATCAAATTTCCTCTCTGTACAAACTGAGACTTCCTTTAAAGAGACCATTTTTTATTGCAACTCAAAAAATGTTCCCACTGATACTACAACTTCACTCAACTCAAGGTCATAAAAAGTAGCTTATATATTTTAGTAGCCCAGTGATTTTAAGTGTTTATTCTCAACAGATGTGAACCTGTATTAAAATTTCCAGCACATGCCAGAAATTACAGGTCTTGTTCCAAAAAAATTATTAATCAAACAACTTCATGACACTGTCATTCCAGGAAAAGAGTATTTCTAGGTATTGTATCGGAGCCCCAGACAAGCAACATTTGAAGCATCTTTCATCCCAAGTGTTCTTTTTTATCCTTATGGAGATATCTTTGAGATGCAGTTGTTGGACAAAAGTATCCTGAGTTTAAATTTCAGTCAAGTATATGGGGTTAGATTCTTATAGATCAAATGATGTAGCATCTCTGACATTTCTGCAATAAACAGAAAGCTTGCAATTTCAAGGTGCAGTAGAAAACACCATATCACTTGCTTAAAAGAGTTACAGTTGTATAGTGTGTAAAGAGATGAAAATAGACAGGGTTTTTGTTCTGGAATTTTTTTAGGAAACATTCCTTGAAAGGCGTTATCAATAACTGGCTGTGATTTGAAGCATCCTTTTGTGTGTGGAATTGCACACAGAGAAAAAAAGTAAGTCAACTAATTGCATGCAGAAATTGGGCCAGGTAACTTTCATGCCACAGTCTCTTTACATAATATAGAACTCTTGTTTACACATGAGAAAAACAGGAAGCTTTCCAATTATTATATCAAATTCTTGGCTAGGGTGAATGAGTATAGCTCATTTATGCTTTGAAAGTGGAAGGAATTTACATGGCTAACATGTTATTTAATCACTGATTAATAACAAGAACCAGTGCAAGACATTATTCTCCCATCTAATTTGCCCCTGCAATTTATAGGTTTGCCCTCCAAAGTAGAGGCTAGTTAGTAGTTTTCTGCAGCTTCCACCTCTTGTCCATGCTTGGAAGTGGCAGACTATCCAGCACCTAAATTATTGTAGCTGGGGCAATTTACTCCAGCTAGAAAAAGAACTTGGATGCCTCCCACATTGCTGCAAGCTCCTTTCCTCCATTTCCTTATTGCACAGTAGTGGGACAACTAGGCTCTATTTTCTCCATTCAGGCATCAGTTTCTCTTCTCTGAGATCAAGGGGGTCAGTTGCAAGAGCATGCATGTGTAACACCCTGGCTTAGCACTAAAGAGGAATACTGTCCTTTGGGGAGCTCTATTTTATTGCTACCTGTGCCCAGGAGACACTTCCCACAGAAGAACAGTGTCCCACATCTGCTAGATAAGCTTGCTTGGGAAGCTGCATATTTTCTACTGGCAAGGTAAGTACCCTCACCAATAAATCTGCACATTATGATTTTGTAAACAGAGATTGCTCCTTGCTCTTAACTAACCTGTGTCTTCCTGAGCTCTTTTTGAGTCTTACATATACTAATTCATTAGCAGCATTTTCATGCACTCCCCATCTATTTATACATTCCCAGCTACACCTAAAGGAAACTCAGCATGTTGCTAGCTAATAATCACCTGGCTATCAGTGGCAGAGAGATGGGGGAGGAGAGTAACAGGGGTTTGCCCCAGCCTTGGCTCATCTTTTAATAATAAGCTAATTCAGATAGCGAACATACTAAAATTAGCAATGAAGCTGGAATACCAACGTGTAACAAAGATTAATGTGAGTCAGTGTGATGCCATCAATTCACCTCTCTAAAAAGCCACAATAGAACCAGGGGCTTAGAACCACTTGCAGTTCACTCATCCAAAACGCAAGCACAAAAGGTTCTGGATGCTACACAGGTCTCCAAGTAGCTGCTCTTGTAAATGGGAATCACAGACTGAAAGATAAGCTTCACCTATATATTAGTGAACCAGTAGTGTCACCCACAAACCCTACAAAGTTCATGGCAAGTCTATTCTAACCTAGATGATTCTATAGTACAATGAAGAAAATGTTAGCCTCTACCATCAGAAAAACACTGTTATGAAGGCTGGGGTTGATTCACCAAATCTAGTATTGCCTTACAGGAGAGAAAGCTGGCTATGCCCTTTCATTAGATTTGTCCATTGCATTAAAGGTTGTTAAATCAGTTTTGTCTAGATTTGTCAGGCTGCTTTTGAGGACGAAACTAAACCGCACTTTTCAGAACTGTTGCATTAAGTGAATTTTGCCACTTCCTGGGAAGCTTCAAGGAAATTGCCTTTATAGAAGAATGTTTTATTCTGCATTTTGGGTTCATATGAGATTACAAGATCTCAGCACACCTCTGTAAACTAAGCCCGAGTTCAGCTACAGTTGTGCTTTGCACAATTAAATATCCAAAGGTCTCTTTCCAGATCCTGATTTGCCTGGTAAATTCCAGCTCTCCCTCTCTTTGCCAGTATAGGTAAGCTACACACACACAATTCCAAATACCTGAACAGTGTTTCTGGAAATAAAAAGCTATTTTTATGCATTTACATCACTCTTGCTTTACACGCATACATAAAGAAAATCTTTCTGAAGAATTGTCAAAGATAACTGGGGGGGGGGGGGGGAAGCTGGGGTCAAATTCCATTTCTTTGATGTGTAGGAACAGGGCAGACAGAACTTACCAGAGCAGTTCTGACCAATGCACCAGCTAAAAATCATCAGATTTCCTTCTATCAAAACTTTTTTTTTATTCCAATGCATTGGAGCTTAGCTTCCATTCAAATTTCTTGCTTATGATCTGATATTTCTTGATGTTCTACCTATGTTCATGGCTCATGCCTCTCGGAATACGTTAAATTACAGCAGCAATATGGAAACTCCAGCCTTGTAAGGAAGGAACTACATAAATCAAGAAAAAGTACCAGAACTTATCAAGGAAGGCAAAAACTAATCTGAAATTGATGCAAGCCAGCTCCCTGGGATAAAACATTAAAGGTTTTCAGAATTTTATCCCTCACTATAAAAAAAAAAACCCACCAAAAGTGTAGAAAGAGTTTAGCTAGTCTTCTTTTCTCATTATTTCCCAAGCTCCTACTTACCTGAATCCTAAATAAAGCTATGGAGAACTTTCCTTTCTGTTTCACTGTTTGTATTACCTCATGCACCTGGTCAGAGCAGGTGTCAAGAGTTCCCACTTCAGCACTGGTGTGACTACTTACATAAGGCTTAAGCAAGGAGCTTGTGTAAGGGTAGGTGTGTTAGTTCCATGGTAGTCCTGGATTTCTTTCTAGAGACAGTCTCATTGGGTTTAAGTAGTTCAGGTGTATTTCAGAAAAATCTGACATGGCAGGCAACTTGTCCAAACTTGCTGTGAACTCCTGACACAAGTGATTTACAAGAAATTAAAAAAAATCCTCCATAATTTCACACAGGTGCCCAAAGTATTGATAGATTCATTCTTTGTTTTGAAACAAGAAATTATGCAAGTGTTTCAAACATGTAGGGTGAAAACAGCCACTACCAAATCGTCTCCTAAAAACACAGTTCTCATCTTGCAGCCACTATTATTTTTTACAGGATAACAGCATTACCTGGAGTTTTCTAATCCAAAGGTTGAGCTGGATGTCAGAGAAAGGACTAAGGTAACTGACTCAGTGAAACTCATTTCAGTTCCTCGTTGTTTCTTTTAAATTGTACATTCCTAATCCCTTCCAGATGCTGCTGAGGATTTCCCAGCCCTTCAGTGCTGCAGATTCCCTTTCCCCTCTGCTATCCCCTGCCCTATCTGTCTTGGTGGCAGCTGTCACACAGCCCCATGGTGCTCTTCCCTTCCAAAGCTGCATGCTTCTTTCTGCACTCTGCAGCTAGTCTGAGAACCAATGTAGGAATAAACTGCAGTATATAAGAAATAATCTAAACTAGTGGGTGACAAAACTAATCTTGAAATCTTTAAATCCTCAGCCCTTTAAATTATTTTATATTGAGTATTTTTGAACAGAGAAGGGAAGATAAAGGAAGAAGTTTCCTTAATTTTGTTGCAGGCTTCTTTCTTCCAGTCCAATGCTTTAGACAAATTATTTCCCACAGCGCATATGAGATAAAAAAAAAACCAACAAACCCAACCAAACAAAAAATTCTGTAGTAAAATTATTATCACCAGCTGACTGATGAATTCACTCTGGAGAGGGCAACATGACACAGTTTACAACCAGTAGTCCAGATACTATCATCTGAATTGGAAAAACACAGTGTTGCCAACTGTTCATGTTAGAAAATGGAAAGTTGTGTTATTTTTCTTTTGCCTCCACACCTTTTTTTTCCCTCCAAATAGCCAAGAATTATTAGATCTTTTGTATGGTTTTCCTTATTGAAGTCTTTTTATGGGCTCATAAAGACAGACTTAATGAGGCAACACAAGTCCCACTGCATGGGAGCTCAGTATTTTCATTCCCAGCAGTCTAATTTTCCTATCAAAAAAAGGAAGATAGTAGAAAAGCTTTTTCAAGCATTCAAGTTCACCTTCAGAAAGTGCCTGAGCTTAAGCCCCATGTCAAAAACCCAGTTATTACATCATATCTGACAGGTCAAAAACTAATAACAGTAAGAAGTGCGATAACTTAGTAGCTAAGGTAATCATCCACAAGTCAGGAACATCCTGGCCTGTCTTCCCTTGCTCTCCTCAGCTGCATGCCCAGAACAACAGTCTAGAGCACTTCAAAACTTTTTATATAATTACCTCACGCTACTGTGAAAAAATACAATTTTCTATTTAAAGCACATAGGGACTTTCAGAAGCATCCGACAAGTCACCGAATTAAAGTGGTGAGGCTCAAGCCGGTACTCTAGCCGTTGTTCTGTTTTTCTGTCCTTGGATGAACCACTTAAATCCTACTGTCTCTCAGTTTCCCATCTGGCAAAAAAACTCTTCTGTAGACTATGTCACGCCAGGTTTGAGCCTTTTGTGAGGAAGGTACAGGCACAATGCTTAATTACATAATGTAAAAGAATTCCAGTTGCTTTCATGCTGTGAAGCACCTTTCTTAGGCCTGTCCTTGCTCAAAGTATCCAAAGTGTTTTTAGAATATGTGGAAGAAAGGTTGCCTCTAGTCCATCTTCTGTGAGATCATAATTATCTTACAGTATTTCTTAGCAGGAGATCTGTCAGTTGCAACTGTCTAATTCTAACCAATTGAATTATACAGGAAAAAAAAAAAAGGTCCTAGAGCAATTAAAATGAGATAAGATCTATTTGAGGGGCAGAAAAGGCTTAGTTTAAACAGCATAAAATTACATAAATAGCACAACATAGCATAAAGAAAAATTAACAAGTCCAAGATGTAATGGTCTGTGGGTTTATTCTAGGAGTCATAACACTAGATAACTCATGCCTACTGCAATCTTCGTGCCTTATTTTGTACTATTGTTTCAGTTTGTATGTAATATGACTGTGGATGTAAAACAAGTCACCAACTCACTCTTTCTAACCTTTCAGTTCTCAGGTCCTCATCTCAAAACTAGATAGAGTAGAACTAAAAAAGAGAAAGATGATTTAAGGGATGGAATGCTTTTTATACAAGTAATAACTACAGCTTTTTTGTCATGAAAGAAAGACAGCTGAGTGGATGTATGATAAAGATATTTAAAACGTGAGTGGAATGACGACAGTAAACAAAGAATCAATATTCATTGCTTTTTCCAACACAAGGACTATAGTGCGCTGAATGAAACTAGCAGGTAGAAGGTTTAAAAGAAAGAAAAGATACCACTTTGTCATGTAACAATAGTCGGCAGGGTGGTATTGGCACTAAAATTTACGTTTAATAAACTCATAGAAGACAAATCTGTGAGGAGCTGTTGAACAGAAAAGCAATACATTTAACCTCAGAAAGACTGAACTGCAAATTTTTGATGGCTGGGGGTGTATTTGCTTGTCCCTTTCTTATGAACTTCCATGGGATCTAATGGTATCATAAGTGACAACTGAAAATCCTATCTAGTCTTGTCTAGTATACTGGCTCAGAATGGCTATTCTCAGGTCTCAGTTTCTGAGGTTTCAACATGTGAAGTCATTTGACCACCATAGAGTCAGGGGTGATGGATCATATTTGTTACTGACTTCAGAGGGAGCCTTTTGCACAAGTGCGGAGCCTTGTTTTGAGCTGCAGTTCAGCACTGTGGCCCAGCCTTCCAGTGCTCTCCATCCCATTTGTCTGCTGCGCTGCATCTAGCACAAGAACCCCTGAAGGGAGAGATGCTACAAACTGTCTGGCAAATGCCCTGAGGTATGACTGTATCACCAAAGGAATGCAAGACCAGTCAAATATAAAACTGAAGCAGAAGCTCTGAGATTCAACAGAAGTGCTGTCTATGGGCAGAAATAGGGTTTGAGTCAGAAGGATGAGCAATGAAACTGCATACCCAAGTGACTGTATATAAAACATTTTATTAAAATGAATAAAAGTAGATGATCATGATAGACAATTATGCTCTGTTCCTCTCCTTATTGGGGAACACAGAAGCAAGTAACATATTCCTTAATATTTCCATGTCTAAAAATGTAACTAATGTTATTTGTTATCATGGTCCTTTTTGCTTTAATTCTTCCCACCCTTCTATATGTGGTCAAAAAAAAATATTGTATGTGTTCTAATAAACCTTTTGTTTAATCCTTGAAAATATATTATAAAATTTCACCCCTGTTGGCACAATGAGATTGGACAGACAGGTCACTGGGTGACAATGCTAGAAACAAGTCAGTATGAAATGGAGAGGGGGACATTGTGCTTTCTAGGAGAAAGATGAACTTGTGATAACATAATCAGTTCAGTGTGACTGTTTGGCTAAGTGGTACATTTAAATCAACTGTCTATCCTACAGCCAAATAATTTTCTGTTGTTTTTTTTTCTGCTGTGCTGTGTTGCCAAGTAAATCATACTACGGCATGTTGGTTCTCTTCACAAAATGTCTGACATCTGTGTCTGCATTAAAGATGCCAGCTTGATTTTTTGGGAATATGAAAAACCACAATAAATCCAGCAGTTCACGCCTTTGCTTGTTGAATGATGCTGTAACGTATAACTACAAGAATTTATAAAATACCCCAAATGAAGGAAGAAAAAAATAAAATAGAACCTCCTTGTACAGATTTAAAAAAAGCCTCACAACTTTATATCTTTGAGTTAGGCAGAAGATTATGAAGACTAATCAGAGGTCATATACTCCTTTTGTCATTACCTGGAATGGGAAACATCCTAATTAAAACTTCCAGAAGAATGCCTTTTGCAAGTTTTTAAAGTTCAGCAGACTTGGGATCTTATGAAGTGCTTAATAATGAAAAAAATTCTATGGAGAATTTTAAGTCAAGGAAGAAGAAACATGCCACTTCTTAATTAGTCTGTAGCCTGTTTCCCCATTGGGCAACCTTGTCTCTCAAAGCACTTCAAGTAAAGCAATCTGCAAGTGCCTTCTTCTGCATATTTGCATATTCACTGGATGGGTGCTTGATCTGGCAATTGAAAACCACTCAAATTCAAGAGACAAAGAGGAAGAAATCACCTGTCACCATTAAACATGGAGAGTAAACAGTAGACATTTTCATTTTATTACAGCCAGTAAACACAACCAGTAGCCTTTGATTCATCTGCAGTGTTTTGTTAAGATCTTCTCCACATACTGAAAGATGAATATTTTAAGCTCTTGCTATTGATTTCAGAGAGGAGCTGTCTTTTTAATCTGGAGAAACATACCTAAAGAAAATAACACAGATTCTATCTAGATATCTTCAAAGAAAAAAAGAGTTACGCAAACCATGAAAAATAGAAAAAAAAAAAGTGGAAAAATGGAGACAGAAAAAAAAGTACATTTCAGGAATGGGTGAGAAGTTAAGTCTA